ATAGCTTCATAGAGAAACAACAAGATAGGACAAGAAGTAACAGACTCTAAAGATATATCGGAAGCAGAACTGTCAAGATTTTGTGATTGATTGCATATGGGGGTAAAATAGATATGCTAGAGGATGACTTACAGCTTTGTGTAAGTGGTGAAGCCTTTAATCAAGACAGAAACACAAGGAGGCAGCTGGCTGGGGTCGGAGCAGGAGTGAAGAGACCGCACAGACATAGGAAACAGTAACATGGGCATTTTCTGAAAATCAGTCTTTGGAGAATAAGGAGAAGCTCTTCACCAGATCACTTCCAACAATCATCAATAAAGCCAATAAATCAAACCAGAGCAAAACAAACCACCTCTAACAGATGCTTATCAAAGACAAATGCAATTGGAAAGACTTCTTCGTGAGGAATAACCAGGAGGAAAAATTATAAAAATGTTCTCATGATAAACTTGTCATATGAACTCAAATAAAAAGAGCTCATTAACAGGAAGCTCTTTAAAGCCTCAAGGTTCTGAGGTTTCTCAAATGCCTGCAGAATGAAATGCTCAAGCTGACCTATTTCTTCTTCCTTCCCTAAATATTATACTAGCATTTTCCAAATGAAAATTAAATTTGTAAAATTCAAAAGCCCTCAATCACAGTCTTCAATTTGGCAACACACGTGGATGCCTTTCCAGCCTTGTCAGGATAGAACAGATTCTGGACACATCACGAGAGAAGTACTGGTACAATCACACAGACGAATACCAGTTGTCTGAAAAAACAAGTTTGCTGTCATCTTGGGACATATCATTTTTAGAAACAATGACCCATTTGGCAGCCTCACACGCATTCCCATCTCTGAAAGCTTTCCAACATTCCAGGCCTTACTTTATTTAGGTTTGGGATTTTGGAGAATAAATCTTTGGTGAAGCAAGTGCAAAATCTTAATTCCATTCAGTATTACTCATTCCATTCACACCATTTTTTTTCTCTCATTGTGTCTTCTGTTACTGACCCTTGTTTTTCTGCCTCGGAGACCTTGTCTGGACACCTCATATCAAATGGCAGCAGTGTGCAATGTCTAATTATTTCACCGTTGAACTTGAACAGCTGTCCGAGATGGTCTATTTAACCGTGCTGGTCCTCTGGTTTTTGAAAACAGCCTTTGTTATATGAAGGATGTGGTTTTCCTCATTAGAAAATGTTTCATTTTGGTCCAGTCAACATCTGAAAGGGCCTGAGTTAGATTTATTCAAAATATCATGCTCCACTTTTTCAGTTTCAATTAAATTTTTATTGACTAGATGAGGTTTCTAAAGGGTAGAGAGTTAGGTGTCCCAGGACCCAGGAAATATTCCGCTTGTTTCCAAGCACCTGACAGTATCACTCTTCATTGAATTTTGAGATTTCAAATGGTTCTCCTAGCATACAGTGAGATTTTTTAGGATATCTGAATTCTCTGAGCCAAAATATAAGTTCCTGGAGAATTTCCACTCTGCACACCTATGGTGAGAAAGATTCTGGGAAGCAAATTGTTTTCCCTTTGAAAAAGGAGTTCAGACTAAGTTTCTGGGAGAAAGTGAGGTCATAGAAGAGTGGTAGGCAAGTGGAAGAACAGCCCTTTGTCAGGGAACTGGAGAGAGGGTGGTGGAGCTCCAGGAAGCAAAGGGGCCCTGTTTTTAGTGAAGGTCTTTGACTTCTGAACTCAGGATCTCTTCATTCTTTATGGGGTTTCCTTCGCTTTGTTCATACTTGCCTGTTAACTTGACTTCCATTGTAGGGTGATGGTCTTTTTCCCTCCCTATCTTTGGATGTTGAGATACAAACACTTTTAATAATTCCTGCATGTCTTTTGTGGAAACAGCTTAATAGGCTGTTATATTTTTTCATTTCACTCATGTTTTCATTAGGTTAATATGAAATGAATGTAAGAATTTCCAACATGATTATAACAAGAAGTAACTAAGAATATGTATATTGTTCTTCATCTTATAAATCATTTTCACAATGTGTCTCACTTATTCATAGTCCTTGAGTAATTAATTTAAGATCATTAGACCTAACAAATTTTTTTAAATGCATCAATTCCTCCTCAAAAGGTAGTCTGCAGATATTTGCATAGGCTAAATAAAAAGAGTAAAATATTAAAAGTTTTTCTCAAGAATTAAAAAAAAAGTGTTTACAACTTCTTCCTAATCTCAAATATCCTTTAGGAAAAAGGTAGAATCGAATTTTCTGCTTTCAGATTATATGTTTGATTCAAAATGAAGCAACATTTTGCTTATGTTTATTCAGTTAAAAAGAATCAAGCTCAATTTTTAGTACTAATATCTAGAAAAAAGTTCTCATGGAAGATATTTTATAACTATATAAGTTACTATGTATTCCTAAGTGTATGGATACTTTCAATAAGCTGACAACATAATTCTGTGAGAAAATACATTCTTTTGAAAAGCTATTACATTTAAAATAAAAATACATAAAATGCACTATATGAAAATGGTTGTCGCTTTTTCTCTTTAGGATAATTTATAACTTGTCAAGGGTCAATAAGGCCAAACGCTCTAAGCAACATAGAGAAAAGGCTACATCATGGAATTGCTAAAGGTTACAAAGGGGTCATTGATTTATAAAGCAGATGATCTTCTGGTTTTCTGCTTTATATTTTGAACATTCTTCTATAACCCTTTCATTTCTGGTCAATTAAACCAGTAAAAGTGGTTGGCTTGTAGGGCAAGCCTGGGGCCCACATTTGGGCCCATGAACAGCATTTTTGCAGTTTAAGGATGTAGGTCTGTGTTCACATATAACTCCTTACCTTCCCCACCAAGAGTGAAGAAGGGCCCAAAACTGCTGGGTGTCTTCCAGTATCCATTCTTCTCTTCTTCCTCAGGAACACATTTTTATTTGGTGTAGAAGTGCAAACAACCTAAAGATCACATTTTTTCCCCCCTTCCTAACAGTTAGGTGTGGCCAAATGGCTAAATCCTGGTCTATGAGATGAAACAGTCTTTGGGTAGCCTGCTTAAAGTCAGCTGACTTGCAGGGATATTTAACTTTTGTTCTTTCTTCCTGATGTTTGGACTGCAGATGTGATGAATGGGGCTCTGGTTACCATCTGGAATTATGAGGTAAACTTGAGAATGGAATGAGAGGTAAAAAATGAGAAGGATGGTGTGGATTCCTGATGCTTTTGTTTCTGTTACTCCAGCCTGGACTGCCTAACTCCAGGTGACTTATAGGCGAGAGAGAAAGAAACTTTTATCTTTGTAAAGTCACTGTTAGTATGGGTTTTCTATTACATAAATCCAATCCAAAGTGAAAGAAGAGGGAATTTTATTTCAATTTTGCTATTCCTGGGAAGAGCTGTATGACCTTCAAGGCCTCTCTTTAGAAACTGTAAGAGTGATAGACCTCAGTGGGCCTGGACCACATGTGACAGGACGTAATGATAATAATGGTACTATTACCATTTAGTGAAAGCTTTATGCCAGTCACTGTTCAAGGTTCTTTTTTACAGGCTTTTTACTTAATTATCACAAGTATACCACACTTCAGTATGTGTGTATGTGTGTGTGTATACTATATGTGTGTGTGTATGTGTGTATATATATATATATATATATATACATATACATATATGCACATACAATCACATGCCACTTAACAATGGGGATCTGTTCTGAGAAATGTGTTGTTAGGTGATCTTGTCATCGAGTGAACATCGTAGAGTGTACTCACACAAACCCAGGTGGTGCAGCCTACTACACATATAAGTTATATGGTATATAGCCTATTGCTCCTAGGCTACAAGCCTACACAGCAAGTTACTATATTGAATAGAGTAGGCAGCTGTAACATGATGGTATCTGTGTACCTAAACATATCTAAACATAGAAAAGGTACAGTAAAAATATGGTCTAAAGATTACAAATAATATGTTTACATAGGACCCTTATTATGAATGGAGCTTGCAGGACTATAAAGTTGCTCTGTGTGAGTCAGTGAGTAATGAGTGAATGTGAAGGCCTAGGATACTATTGTGCTTGTACATTACTGTAGAACTGATAAACACTCTACACTTAGGCTATAATACATCTAAAAACATTTTCTTTCTTCAGTAATATATTAGCCTTAGCATACTCAATTTTTTTACTTTATACGTTTTTAATTTTTAAAAAAAACTTTTTGACTGTTTTGTAATACTACTTAGCTTAAAACACAAACACATTGTATGGGTACACAAAAATATTTTCTTTATGTCCTTATTCCATAAGTTTTTTTCTATCTTTGGAATTTTTAAATTTCTTTTTTGCAAGAAATTTTAAAATTTATTATTGTGGAACCAATGTCTCAGAGCTTCAATTCCTTTAAAAAAAAGAAACAGGGTCACTTGATGAGGGTGGGGTCTGCGATTAAGGACAACAGTGAAGGTATAAAAAAAACTGCCACAGTAATTAGAGAAGGAAATCCACCAGGAACCCATAAAGGTAAAGGACTGCATGTAGATGTGAGGACTTGGTTGAGGTTGGAGGCCTTGAATATTCAGTGGCATTCATTACACAACTGTTTTACTCTAGTAGTTTGGAGGAACAGAAAAGAGAATAAGTAGAATGATACAAAAATATGGCCAATGGTGGCAAGAAAATAGGGTGATGGAATGGAATATAGTCAGGCTCCTGAATACAGAAGTAAATTACACAAAGGTGGGAGGCAGGGGAGGCAATAATGAGAAAAGAATGGAGAGGCTGGAATTAGAAATCACAGATTTCCATGGGACCAATATGGGGCAGATGACAGAAAGCTGGAATTAGGAGATTCTACACAAGCAGTGAAACAGTAAGGTAGCATTAACGAAGAATTCCCAAATACTTAGTTTTATCCTTTTTATCACGACGACTGCCATCTACCTGTCCCTTTAGCCCTTCAGTTTCTCTCCCTCAGATTTGGCTGTATTGCAGAATACGTGCCCAACTTTCTCCCTTACTGATTGCCCCTGAAGACAAGCAGAATTCTTTGTTCAAAGGTTTTACTGCTCATCCTGAGAAGACTGTAAATACTAAGAAAGTAAGAAGCTGGGGAAATGGCAGAAGTTCCAAAAGACCCCAGACTTCTTACAGGTTTCATCTCTCTTCTGTGGCCAGTAAATTCTCAAGGAGGCAGTACCCAAAAGCCCTGTGGTTTTTTTGACCGGTTGTACTTAGATAGCTTCTCCTTCCCTAGATCCAGCAGAATTTTAGACATGTAAGACATAATTCACAAAACAGTTATGAACCAACGAATACTTGGCTCACGGTTATGAGCCACTGAAGTCAGTCAGACTTAAGGACAACTAGACAGAGCTCCCATGTCCTGTCTGGGCAGGAACCAATTTCCTGATGTATAAATTGGCCTTCTGGTACATTCTGGATTCTTGCTTCCTCATCTGTTAAATGAGGCTAATACCACTTACTCATAGTTTTGTTGTAAAGATGAACTAAGGTAAAGCATGACCCATTTTAAAACTGTACACACAGAGACTGCTTTAACCAGATGCCTACAAATGCTCAGGTTTTTCTTCTACATATAGAAGAAAATTCCTCAGCTGCCATGGCTGAAGCCAGCGGATATGTACTAAATGACAGAACAAAGGACTGTGCCAATTAGGTAGGCAAAGCTTCCTTGCCCAGAATACAAATCAAACAGAATAAAAAGCAGGTTTATTGGCTCCAGGAAAAGGAGCAAGGACACCCAGCTTTCAGGCAATCTCGAATTCTCTCTGTATAGGATTCACCAACCCCAAGGTCCACTGGGGTCCTTCAATCAGAGAAGTCCATCCAGGGCCTTCCCTCCTGGGGTTGGGGATGGCTAGCTGCCTGATAGAGAGACCCCAGGCTGTTCAGCAGCAACGCCTTGCACAGCCGAGGCAGCCTCGTAGTCTGCGATGCGGCGCTGTACCAGGGCAGGCATGAGCTGCACGTAAGCGGCCATGAGGCGGTGGCTGGAATGGATCAGCTTCCCAGCACAGCTGTGCAGACCGGCCTCCTCCTCAGCATCCAGAGCTCGATGGTGTAAGCTGGGCACCCAGCGCTGGAAGCAGAGTTCTGTCATCTGATTGTAGACCAACAGGAAGTCACGCAGGTTTCTAAGTTGCTGTTGTTGCTGAGGCTGCTGCTCCATCACGCCCAAATTTTTTAATTTTAAAAAACTTTTTTGACTTTTTTTGTTAAAAATTAAGATACAAACAGACATATTAGCCTAGGCCTACACAGGGTCAGGATCATCAATATCACTATATACATCACAAACATATCACTGTATCTTCCATGTTCACATCTTGTCCCACTAGTAGATCTTCAGGGCAATAACAGGCATGGAGCTGTCATCTTCTATGATGATAATGCCTTCTTCTGTAATACCTCCTGTGGGACTTCCTGGGGCTGTTTTATAGTTGACATTTTTTATAGATAGAAGGAATACACTCCAAAATGATGATAAAAGTATAGTAAATACAGAAACGAGTCACATCGTCATTTATAATCATCACCAGGCATTGTATACTATACATAAGTGTACGTGTTGTATTTTTACATGCCTGGCTGCACAGGTTGGTTTACACCAGCATCACTGCAAAGACAAGTCATGTGTTACACTCTGATATTAGAATGACTGCAACATCACCAAGCAATAGGAATTTTTCAGCTTTATTATAATCTTATGGGACCACTGCCATATATGCAGTCTGTCGTTAACTGAAATGTCATGATGTGACACATGACTCTGTGTGTATGTATCCGTGTGTGTATATGTGTCTATGAAAACAACCCTAAAAAGTAGGTACTGTTATTATCCCTGTTATATAAACAGGGAAACTGAGAAGTTTAGGGAGTTACTTTCAAGTGGCAGTGCTGGGAATTAAGCACTTTGGTCTTAATCATGAGGCCATGCTGCCTCCCAGTGAAGGAAAGAATTAGCCATCCCCTAAGCATTTTCTCTCCTGAGAATACAATGTTTTCATTTTTTATTACTTTATCATCAATATCCTTTTTATATAAGATGGACACTCCACAGACTACAAGCTATATGCATTGATTACTAGTCTTATCTTAATAGATTTAACCACAGAGCCTTAGAGAAGAACCAGCTTATCAAAATGGCTCCACAGACTTACCATTGCCAGCCTTCGTAAGGCTGAGGGGAGAGTATAGGCCGAATGGGCAGTGCTCAGTAACCTACTCTATCATATCACTGTGAAACAACCACCACCAACAAAACATTTGTCTCCCAGAATTCTATTCAGATTCTTCTTGAGTACAGCAGTAACGTCACATACTTATCATGAAGTAACCCTGGAAGGCTGTACAAAGGTCCCTGAGAGATAGTATTTATTCAGATCTATTTTGTCTTCCAATTATAAAATGTTAGGACGTTACACTCTTATTACTTTGCTTAGAAGAATTGATAATGCCATGGGAAATGAAAGCTTCACCTCCATTCTTGTTTTGCTTTTGGTGGTTGTTGCTATCATTTATTTTGTACGAACACGATCAAAACATACATAAAATAACAGACCATGTAAATGTGTATCAGACAGGATATTGTAGGTCATGTACAGAAAAAGAATCCAAATGTCAGAGGCCCGTAACATTCAATGTTTTTTGTTTTTACTCTTTCTGTCCATTATAGATCAACTGGGGACTTGGATTTATGTCACCTTCACTGCAGTACCCAGGAGGCTGATAAAGAAGCCCTTTTCTAGGATACCATTATTCTCATGGCAGTGGAAAGTAAATGATGATGAAACACTGACTGGCTTAAAACTGCTGATCAAAATTGATACATGTCACTTCCATTTACCTTTCTTTAAACAAAGCCAGATTATCATTAGGGTGGGGACATATGCTTCCACACAACGGGCACCACAAGGAGGGATTGTGACTATTTTGACCTCAAATATAGTAATCTTCCACAAGCCTTAGAGGATAGAATATGTAGATTACTCCAGCCATACTGTGGTATTTCTAGTTTCTCCAACTGACCATGTATTCTCTCACATTTGCACCTGATATTTATTATTTTTTTCTGCCTGAAACTCTTTGTCTCCCTTCTTCACACAGTTAGAACTTGTACAACTTCCAGTTCCACACCAGATAATACATCTTCTTGGAATTCTTGCTTGATGCCCTAATCCTATGCTCTATGGGTATTTCCATAGTTAACAGTTTTCAAATAGGTCTTAGATCTCTGCAAAATTTCTTTTGTTTGTTTGTTTGTTTGTTTTATATTGTATTTTTCTTTTCTTTTCCTTTTTTGCTTGACCACTCAAAGGTAAGTGTATTGAAGGCAAAGAGTGTATCTGGTTCACCTAACATAAAACCTGGCACATATTAATTAATCAGCCAATTAATATTGTTAAATGAACATTATCTTGACACCTTCATGTAATCAATTTCTGTTTTGTTATGAGGAAATATGGCATGGAAAAGACTACCAAAAATTATTTGCCAGTCACATAAGTGAATCATCAGTTGAAACTTCAGTTGACTCCAGCTTCACCAGACATCTAACTGCAGTGATACGAAAGATTCTCAAGGCAGAATATAGAAAAGGCAGGGACCACTGGTAGGAATTTGAAGTTGTGATTGATCATTTGGGGATGGTTGGGAAATGCTTCATATAAAAAGTAACCAGTCCTTTTTAGGTTAAAGAAAATAAGGTTCCCGGGATCATAGCTTGATAAATTATAATTACTACTTTTTTCCACTTCTCTTCTTCACTTGTTGCCAGCTCTTCATTAATTCTTCATTAATATACAAGTATATTTGGCTAAATGATTCAATTTAGATAAAAACACTAATTTATTTGGACTAAGGTACAGCAGTGCCACTTAAAAAATACACAAGTATGCCTACACACGTATTTGTGCTGGAACTGGCAGATACCATGAACAATGCTTCCTCGTGTATAATTAGCATGTTTCAAAAATCAGTATAGCCAAGGAGACATAAAATAAAATAAGAAAGAAACACGTTAGAATCATTATTGGCAGAAGACTTCTTTTTATCAGATAGCTAGAATGAAAAGTTTCTGGTGACATAGAAAAGTCTATGCCATTAGCAGTATTTTGACACACTCCTTATCATCTGATCCACCTGAACTGCGATTTTGTACCCTAGTTTCATATCAGAATCACTTGGTAGGCAGGCATTTAAAGAGTACTAATGATCATACTCTATTAGGCTGAGACAATGGTATTTCTAAAAAATCCCTTGGGTGCATTTAATGTTTAGCCAGGGAGCAGAATTGCTAATGTAAATAATTGGGCACCGTAGCTTAATCAATTTTCTTTTTTTAAATAAACTTGCATCTAGTAACAAGAGGTTCTAAACTTTATTTCACCCCAGATGCAGATAAAGAAAAACCAGGGAAAATGCTTATGTCTCATGAAGCTTTCAGATATCCACTTTAAAAGGTCTGCTGACAGCAGCCGGGTTTAATGTCAAGAGACTAACCACTTCTGGGCACTGGACTGCAAAAGGGAGAAGAGATACAAGAAGAAAGTCTTTCAAAATAGATTATGGCTGATATCTTTGCCTGGACATAGGATGATCACTGCCCCATTGTCCTGGGCACATAGCAAGAACAGCATTGACAACATCCGGAGTATGTAGAGAATGTTTTAAGTGGATTTGGAAAACATAAATAGTGAAAAAAAATTTCAAAGCCTTTTCTACAGCTTTAATGGCATTATTAGACAGATATATGTTATAAACTATTTCCTTCCACCTTCCACACATATTATGTAATATAAACTGCATGGAGACAAGTATTTGCCTTGATATTTTTCTTTGCTCAACAATGTAGTTCTCTCTGTCAACAATTCTCTGTATGGTATTTCATCACAATGCCTAGTATCCATATATTTCAAAAATCCAAGTGTTTGATGGATGTTTTCATTCTGTAATCTATTTAGTCAAATAATACCTGCCAGGATCAAAAATTTAAATGCCACTTTAATCACTATAGCCAATATAATTACTACACTGCCACAATTTTTAAAAATTATTTTTGTTATTTCACAGTTTTGAATCTGGTGGATGTCAGCCACAATTGGAAGCTATTTTGGCAAGCTAGTTTTCCTGGGAAGATATAATGACCCTGATGTTGAAGGTTGTGTGGCTGATATGGGGGCATAACTGTTTTGACATTTGCAGCATTACTGTCTGTCCAAGTTACCGATTTCCACTTTTAAGATACCACAATATATAGGCTTGTTTGCCTACTGCTCTTGAAGGCAACAGGTTGGGTTAGATTGGGAAGATGGCATGAAGATGGAGGGGGCAGACATAGTTGAATTCTTTGCATCTCCGTAAATTTCTATAGGGATTTCAAATTCTGCTTCCAGTTCCCAAAGTTCAGAGATCAATGCCATTATTAAAAACTACAATTGACAGTATAGGGACTTTATCTGGAGTACTTTGTTTATGCTTCATTGTTCAAAGCAACACTTTCCTTAGTTTGTTTTCTTATATCATTTTAGAAGTTTTAATTATTTCTTTCCAAGAAAAAGCTTGTATTTTGGAGGGTTAACACTAGAATTTTGTGATTCTATATTGCTTCAGTAATGATAGCAATAGGCAACTTTATGGAAGGCTTATGGGGAAGCTCATGGGAATTGAGGGATAGCTAGTGAACCAGGTTTGGAACAAGTAGGTCATTTGTCATCCAGTTGCCAAAAAAGGAAATGAAACTACCATTTCTCTACCTTTGCAACACTCTGATCAAGATTCAAAGTTGGGGAAGAGAGAGTAATTGGCTGGATTTAGTTCTAGGCCTAATAGAATCTAGAGAAAAGAATAGCAGGGAAATACCTAGCTTACCACCCCACTAGCACTGCATACAATGGAGAGAAGATATTTCTCCAAAGGAAATAGCATACTGATAAAAATGGAGAATGGTTGCTGGATGGCCAAGAAACAATGAATGTCTCAGTCTGTATTATTGTTTTTGTGGGATACATGGCAAGACTTCTGCCTCTCAGCAAGAACATAGACTAAAGAAACAGAAACAACAAATCTTATTAAATAAACTTGCAGCTGAAAAACATGGTGTTTTTATGTTAAAAATAAAACCAAAACAAAATATATCATAAACAGTTTCTTTTCTTTCCATCATTCATCAT